AGCTCTGTCCACGTCAGCCATGTCTAGGGACAGGCTCTCCTGCCGGTGCTCATGCCGGAGCCCTCTCATCTCCCACTGCTCGCCTCCAGCCCCGGCCTGGGCCGCCTCTCACCGTGACTGCGCCCATGCCTGACCTTGCTTCAGGCCACCTCCCTTCCACCCAGTCCACATGCTGCTGCTGTTAATGCTCTAAGCTCTGCCGGACTGAGCTCTGGGAAAGTCAACACTGTTCAAAACCCAGCAGCTCCAAGAGCCAAAACTCCATAGCGGCCAGCAGGTGGTATGACGGTTAAGGCACTGGACTCCCATGTGGCTGACTGTGGTCAGAGTCCTGGACCTGGCAGCTTACTTTCCTGCTTTCCCTTTCTCTCTCTCTTTCTCCGTCAAACAAAAACATTTTTAAAAAACAATAAAATAAAAGGAAATAAATAATGAAACTTCACAGCTTGACATGTGAGGGCCTCGACCACGCCCTCGCCACTGTCCCAACCCCGCTGCACTGCCTCCCTTCACCACAAGGCCCCGGCAGCCCTTCCTAGAACAGACCCGGCCGGGCCCCGGTGCCCCAGCACGGCGGGCGCATGCTGCCCTGCTGTGCTCCTGCTCTCCCAGGGCCGGTGTGCGCCCTGTGCCCGTGCTGCATGGCTGCAAGCTGAAGGGCTGCCTCTCCTTGGCGCTCTCCCTGCTCCACACCTCTGTTACGCGTCTGTGGTGCGGTCTCTCTCTCTTCCAGGCTGGAAGTTCCTGAAGGTCTCGGACTAAGTTTTATTCATCCCTGAGGCCAGCGGCTGACACCCGGTCTTGCGTTTGGTGTGTATCTGTCAGATGTACATGTGGACAGGTTCAGGCTGTGTATTGGGGCTCGAGAATTAAGACTTCCAAAAGTGGTCACCATTTGTGTGGGAGGTGCACTTATATTTTCTCCCCCCTTTACTACTGCTACTTTCTTTTTTTTTTTTTTTTGCTGTAGGGTGCATATGTTTGCTGGAGAGGAAAACTGAGAAATCATCCCCCGAGGGGGATGGCCACACTACACTTCCTTCTCCTCTATTTTCCTCTTGCGATCTTGGGCATACATACAAGCCTCGTGTGTTTCAAGCCGTCAGGTCTGGGACTCAAACTGCACAGGCCGCCATGCGGGATCCAGCGATTGCACCTGAGCCACCCCACCATCCCCTGACCTTCTCTACTCTTTTCTGAACTTGCTCTTGGAGGGAGACAGCTCTGCATGAGATTCCCTCCACAATACCTTTGGATTCATGGTGCCTAGCACAGTATCGGACACAGAGGAACAGAGGGACCCAGCTGCTATGGTACAACAGCAACATAAACGCTCTGCAAGGCTGGAAGCCATAGGGCCAACTGCAGGTTTGGATCCCCAGGCTGGCATGGAAACACACCAGGCAGGCACATGGGTACCCAGAATCTGAGAAGCTGGAGGGCTGTGGAAAGAGAATTACGGCATGTGAGACCTCACCGAGGGGTGCTTCTCTCTCTCTCTGCTCTGTGTGCATGCATTCGCTATCATTAAAAAAAAAAGAAAAAAGAGGTGAGAGATGCTTAGACACACATAAGGATGGCTTCCCAGGGCCTGGTACAGGGCCTGGTGTGCATCCCTTCAGCCAATGGAGTTATGAGCTATGCTTCTTTCCTGGGAGCTCTAGGACAAGGCTATGAGCCACTGAAGGCAGCTGGTACCTTCTTCAAAAAGAAAATAAGCTGGCCCTGCAACCTAGTGGTTAAGGGAACTGGATCCCACATGGCTGAACATGGTATAAATCCTGGCCACAGCAACTTGAAAAACACCGGGCATGTGTGTGCGTGCCCCAAGTCCAGACAGGATAAGGAAATGGAGAAGGGCTTGTGGTGTGACCACACCCCATTGGAGGCTGCTGTCTCCCCCTCCCTCTCACTGGTGAGCACGCACACTCTCTGGCAATCAAAAAAAAAGAAAAAAGAAAAAACACCGGGCCTGAGGAAGACGGCAGTCATGGCCAGGAATTTCGGAGCAGTGGTGGACACTAGGGTTGATCCTGCTGTCTCCTTCTCACAGCAAATGCATTTCTTTTTGTCGTTAAGAAATGGGAAGCTGACTATTGCCAGTCTCAGGCCTGTCCCTTGGTGAGTTCTAAGATACATTCCGGATGCAGAGGCTGAGGTGGGATCAGCAACATCCTACAATGCCCCACGACCCATTTAGTTCTGGGGGATTTCACTGCTGAAAGGACAGAAGAAGGAACCCAGGCTGTTCCTGACGTTAGGGAGCACACTGGTCTTCCAGCCCCTCTCTCTGCTCACTGGCTTTACCTAGGCCAGGGCCCAGGTTACCACAGCTGGTCTAGCTACTGTCTTTATTTACTAGATGAGAAAGAAGCCCATGAAGCCTTCCCAGGGGTCAGAGGCACAGCCTTTGGGCTCTCTGAATAGCATGGCACAGCCAAGTCCAGGGCAGGGCCTTGCCTCAGGTTAAGTCCTTAATTCCACACATGTCCTGAACGCCCACTGCAGGCCAGGCAGGCATGTCACCAGTTCCGGGAGCAACCGCTGAACCCGGGGAAGGCTCCCTTTCTCTGTGCTTCACTCTTGGAGAGCAGGGGCAAGCTGGCAGTAGGGTCAGCTGCGAGTTCTGGAGGAGGCCACACTCTTTGTCACCCCTGAACAAGCAGGTCCAGTCGGGTGGCACAGTCCCTAGCATACCGGACTGTAGTGAGGGAAGCCACGTGTCTGCCTGTGGGTTGGACCCCAGGGTTGGCCTGAAGACAGGGTGGGCAAGACTGTGGGTGTCCGAGATCCTGTGAAGCTGCAGTGTGACCATAACCTGTTACGAGTGCTTGCTTTCTACCTCCTTCATGTGCATGAACATGCTATTATTATTTAAAAAAAAAAAAAAGTTAGACAAGCAAAATAGCTGACACCTGCAAACTCCTCCTGTGGAGGGCTCTTCCTGGAAGTCCTGGAAGGAGCTGAATGAATTTTAATACAATTGTTATAGAACAAGAAAATGAGAAATAGTCTGGGAACCCTTCGGTGTGAGCTGGTGGGAAAGGCCTACGGGGAGCGTGCAGACCAGCGGAGGCTAAGAGCACGCCAGTCTTGGCCCTGCAGCAGTGCGTGTGCAGGCGGGGCTCTGTCCTAGCCAAGCCCCCACCCATGTCCCTGTACGTCCGGCCACCAGTTCTGTCACTACATGAGGAGAGAGGAGGGGGTGGTGGTGGCTACGGCAGGGGGGGCCGAAACTTGTGTCCAACGAGTCTTGCTATCAGAGCAGTGGGATAAGCACCCTAAAGGAGACAAGGCTGCAGAGGGACACCCATCCATCAACCCCCCATACCCCTATAACCCAGGCCTGCTCTCCTGACTGCTTTCTCAAAGAAACTGTGGGCACAGAAGAGCCCTAGGGAACGTTCACAGGGCCTCGGACAGAGCCAGGGAGCTATCTGATCCGACTGCACTCTGCCAGGCTCCCACTCCAGCCTCCTGTGCCCACGGACCAGCGCCTGGGCATGGGAAGCATGTACCCTCCACCACCTGCTCCACTTTACAGAAGAGGCCAAGAATGAGGCCCTGATTTTTGGACCTGGGAAAGCAAGCTCCTTCCCTTCTGATTGCCCTTTGCTCACACTCCTCAGATATAAGAAAGAATTTACAATTGACCAGATGTCAGGAAAGGGCTGGATAATGCCCAGAAAGAGCAGAGGACCTTAGGAGGTGAAATGCCAGTGGAGGCCCTTCTCCAGCTGGTGGCTCCCAGACCAGAGCCCTGCTTTACTTCACCTTCAGGATAAAGGCCTCACTCCCGACCTGGGCCCTGTAATCCGCCCTCCACGGCTCCAGCCAGGTCCTGGCACACATCTGCCAGCAGTCCCCTGAGCACCGCGATGTGAACCTGGCACCCCTGCCTCTAAAAAAAAACCTCCCCTTGTCCCACCTGGCTAACTCCTACTAATCCTTAAAGACGAGGCTCTCCTCCTCCAGAAGACCTGAGCCCCAGGCTGGGCATGCCCCACTCCCTGGTACTCCGAGGCGTGCTGGCCTGCTGCTCCCTGACTGCCAGCTCTGTGAGGAAGGACGGAGGCTCAACCCTCTTTGTAGCCCAAGCGACTGACACATGGTAGACATTCAATAAATGGCTGTGAAATCAAATCGGAGGGGCTGCCTAGACTCCAGCCCACCTCTCCAAATCCCTCAGGGACGCGCATTCCTCCGGTTAATCGGTTAATCAGGGCGGGGGGATGTATGTAGGGAAGGGGAAGGGGTCTCCCTGTGAGCCTGGATCTCACACTGGAATGGGCCTGGTGGGTTCCAGGGCAGCTCAGAGTTCACAGAAATCTGTGAAACAACCTAGAGGTGGCCGGAGACTAACTGTCCCTCATGCAGGCTCAGAGCTGAGGCCGGCCGCTCCAGGCAGCACTGCCAGCTGCGCATGTCTCCACCCAGGGGGTTTCCACCCCGCAAAGAGCCATGGCCTCGGATGCAGGATGTGGGCTGGGTCATGGACCAAAAAGGGAATTAACTTTGAAAAATCTCAGTTCATGACAGCAAGAGGGTCAGTACCCTGCGGGGCCTGCAGTGTAGAAAGCCATGCCCTGGGGGTGACCAGCAAAGTCGTTACCCTTTGCTGACGCACACCATGCCTTCTCCCTGGGTCTCTTCTGGGTAAATGGTTCAACGCAGACCCAGAAAATGTGTTTGTTGGGAAGCTGCCTTGCTTAGAGCTTAGGCCAACAAGGGGGCTGGGCAAAGAGAGCCACCAAGTGAGAACAGCCGTTTAACACCGAGGGACTCCAAAGTGGCTCAGGCCCTCCCACCGAGAAGTGCTAATTGGTTCTGAGGAGTGCGGCCAGCGCAGCCAGCCAGACCCAGGCGGACAGGACACCTGAAATAGGTGAGAGCAAGGGGCTGGTGGGCGCCAGGCCAGGAACTGCGGGTGCAGGGGAGCCCGAGCAGGCCTCAGCGGTGGCGTCTCCCATCTGCCGCATGAGCAGGGGACTGAGCCACCCCGCAGGCTACCCCAGAGGCCGGGGCACATTCTCTGGCACGAGAGCTGGCAACAGTGTCTCTGTGGTGGCAGCTTTAACCCAGGGCACGTTCTGTGCTCTCTCTGGATGAACAGCCTGGGCCCTCCAAGGGGAGAGAGAAAGAAGAGAGAAGAGAGAGGCCAAGGGGCTTGGTGGGAACCAAGCAAAGCAGCAGGGGCAGCTCAGTGGGGTGAGCAGCGACCCCAGCCCCAACTGTCCATGTGGGGGGCAGGAAGCCTCAGGCTCCCCCATCCCAGTGACGGCTGAGATGGCCCGACTGCACCCCCTCTGTCGGAGTCCCCTCCAGCACTACACAGCTCCTACCTTCGCCAGGACCTGTGGCTGCTGTCCCTGGCTCCTGGACTTCCCTCTCAGTCTGCGTTTCAGCATTCTGCAGCTGAAGGGCCAGCGTCTGGGTGCCCTGAGATGTTACCGAGGTGGCGGGGTTCCGGGGCTGCAGCCCGATGGCATTCATCAGACCCATGTCCCGGTCTGTCCTCCACGTGGCTCTGCTGGTTCTAGGGAGAGAAGGCAGACTGACGTCAGGCAGGACGAGGCCAGTGTCCCTCACACTCTGCTGGCTCAGGGTCAAGCCTCGGGGCATAGCAGGGGCCAGGCCTAGGCTCTTGCAGCTACCTCCAGATGGCAGTCTGCACATCTGTGTCAATCTTCCTTCCAGAGCAGCCCACATCTGGGCCAAGGAAGAGCAGCCATGGACCGCCCACTCTGGCAAACAGCTGGTGCAGGCACTCCCTTCAACGTGCCCTTTGGCAGTGGTGTGTCAGTTTGGCAGTGGTGTGTCAGGTGTGGGTAGAAAAGGAGGACCTGAAGCCCGTATCTAGATTCAGGAAGCCACTAGCTGAGATCCGCGGGCACACGGTGAACCATGGAAGAGTCTTTTCTCCCTAGTTTGACCTTCCTTCTAACTGTGCTGATAAAATTCCAGTTTAAATTCTTGGAATTTCTGAGTGGACTGACAACTCTGCTTTGAAGGGAAAGCACTGGAATTGATGAAGCTGTTCTGGGATCCATTTTCCAGAGTCTGCTGGAAACAGACCCTCGTGGGTATGAGCATAAGCTGCCTACGAAGAAGGCTCAGACCAAGGCTAGCCTCTTCCTTTCCTTGGGGACATCCTAATCACTGACCCTTGGGACAGGTGGACAAGCAGAGGGCAGGACTTCTGAGACTCACCAGAAGCTTATGCTTCCGGCTCCCCTTCACGATTCCTCCAGCTCCTACAGGGGGTGGCCATTGCGGGCCGGCACCGCGGCTCCTACAGGGGGACGGCCATCGCAGGCCAGCACCTCGGCTCCTACGGGGGTGGGGGGGTGGCCATTGTGGGCCAGCACCTCGGCTCCTACAGGGGTGGCCATTGTGGGCCGGCACCACGGCTCCTACCGGGGGACGGCCATCACAGGCCAGCA